CGAAAAACCTCCCGTCATGATTTTTTCATTGCTCGAGGGGGTCTGGGTTTGGTGGGTGGTGATCAACGGCAGGCAGGTTGACCGATGCTGCTGTCCAGGCCGAAGTGCACCCCGCCAGACAGGCAGCGCACCCTGCGCCGCCCGGCGCTGCCCGCCTGGGCCAGCCTGGAACACAGCCCCATCCCTGAGCCGGGCAACGCCTCCTCACAGTGCCAACCTTAGGGACTCCCCTAGTTTTGCAGGGCGCATCCCTGAGATTGTCATCGCCTTCTGGCGTGTCAATCTGAAGGGGCCCCAGAGCACACGAATAAACACACACAAATAAAGACATCCCCCATCTTTTCCCATATCTTCTGGGTTTCTACCTTCCCCCCCACTGCCCACATTTTCCTATATATGTTCTGGGGAATCGAGGATTCATTGTGTCTGTGTGTCTCTCTCCCTCCTGACAATCTTAGGGATAGGGATAAGTTCGAGGCTGGCGCTGCCCGCCTGCACCAGCCTGCCGTCCCTCGCGCGGACCCCCGGGGAGCCGGACGCCCGCTCGTTCCACAGCTGCGGCACCTCCGGGCAGCGGTCGCCCGCCGGGGCCCGCCGCGCCAGCCAGGCCTCCTCTCGAGGCCTCCCGGGTGGGCTCGGAGCCGCTGGCCCTGACTCCTGATCCGCCCTACTTTGGGCGATTTCGAAAGTAGGGCGGAAATTTCCGCCCTACTTTTAAGGCCCCTTTGAGCGTCGATTTCCGCCCTTGAGGCTCCTTTGGCGTCGATTTCCGACACAATTTTAGGTCGGAAAATCATCCAAAGTACGGCGGATCAGGAGCCAGGGGGGGCCGGAGGCTCGCGCCGCCGCGCCGAGAGCTACAGCGCCGAGGCACCGGCGAGGCACCGGCGATGCAGCGCCTGCGTGGGCGATGCATCGGCGACGTCGGCGTGGAGCAGATCGGGCTGCACATCGAGCCGCAGCGGCGAGGCGCCGGCGACGCGGCGCGATCCTCCGGCCCCGTCTGCGCCGGCCCCACCTATAGGAGGCCTGTGGATCTCCTCGACCTGCGCCCCGGCCTCCAGCAGGAACTTGGCGAGGACGGCCGCCTTGGGGGAAAGTCGGGCGTGTCCCCCCACAGGGGGATTGTCGACGAAATACTCAAAAAACACTCCAAAATGTTCAAAAAACTATCAAAAAATGATCCCCCGACTATTTTTTTACTATTTTTGGATTGTCCCCCTGTAGAGGGACAGGCCCCTCGTAACCTTGGCGAGCTCGCGCAGGTGGTGGAAGACGCTGCGGCGCTCCGCGATGAGCTCAAAGTTGTCGGTGAACTCCCGAGCGTACCGGACCAGGGGGTGGGCGGGGCTGGTGACCGTCTTGTCCTCCAGCCCCCCGGGGCCCAGCAGCTGCTCGCGAGCCTCCACGCCCATGCGGACGCGCGGTATCAGCAGGCCCTCGTCGGACGTCCAGACCTCCGCGCCCCGCACCACGAACCACTCGCGCGCGCGCCAGGCGCCCTCGGCGCACTCCTCGTCCGCGTACTCGAGGCAGCTGCGCATGCCGACGACGGGCTGCCTGCACTCGCCCATGGACAGCTCCTTCAGGTGGTAGTCGGCCTGGAAGAGCACCTCGCCCGCACTGGTCCCCCGCAGCCACGCCGGCGCGAAGCGCTTGACCTGCATGCTGCCCTCCTCTCGGCCCGCGCCGTCCGCGCCCGGGCCGACCGGCGAGGGGTCGAGCGAGAAGGTGGGCTCGCACCCCTCCTCAAGGCGAGCACGCAGCGCGGCAGAGAGGTACTCCGGACAGACGCTGGCCACGGGGTCACTGACGGCGACGCGGCGCATGGAAGACCCGCGCAAGGCGACGCCCACCTCGCCAGGAAGCAAGCAGGTCCCCAGGCCCAGAGATCCGACGTCGTGAGTTTTTCAATGCGCGGTCCCCGGAGGTCTCGACCCATCCTCCAGGACCCGTTTTTCATCCTGAGTCGTTTTTTGACGGTCCCGGGGCCCGGCGAGGGCCCCTTGAGGCCGAAAATTGCGAAAAACCTCCGTCTTGATTTGTTCAATGCGTTGGATCTCTGGGGGGAGACGGATCCTGGATCCCGGGGCCTCTCCCCCATAGACCGCCTTTCCCTCCCGAGGCTTTTCTGCTGGCGGCCCTGGTGCCCGCGACCAGCCCCCATCCAGAGGCCCGGCACGGGGAAGCACCGGAGGACTTGCTTGCTCCATGGCGTTGCGGATGCCATGACACTGGACACTCTAGCAGTCCTATCGGAACTAACGATGTGTTTAAAATGTGTGAAACATGTTCTAAAAATGTTTTAAGCATGTTTTTTACATATTCAAAACAGATTTGAAATATCTGTCAGACATCTGGAAGTTATGTTGCAGCCTGCTTCCTCTTCATTAACCGACTTCCACAACCATGGCGGCCACCATGCCCGTGCCCATCCCAGCGGCGCACTTGTCGGCGCACCAGCCGATGCCGAACCTGCGCCGCAGCTCGCGCTTCCGGGCGGCCTCCTTGGAGGCTTAGAAATGGGCACCAACACCAATGCCGAGGGTTGCCTCTACCAGGGGAGGGTGATCCTAGATTTTGGTGTTGGTGGTAATATTTCGGCCACCTTGGAAGCCCGAATATTACCACCATCACCGAGATCGGGATCATCTTTCCTCGGTGGAGGCACACCACCGATCTTGGTGTTGGTGTCAACTTCTAGGCCTGCGATCCTGCAGCTCCGCCCGGCGCTCGTCGCGCCTCGCCTGGCGCAGCGAGCTCTGCACGACGCACTCGGCGTGCAGCGGGCGGCCGCCCTCGTCGGGGTAGGTCTGGGTGCTCAGGGGCAGCCGGCACTGGGCGCACAGGAGCAGGTCCTCACAGGAGGGCGCACGCCGCACACACGGCAATGCCCAGAGATCCGACGTCGTGACTTTTTCAACGCGCGGTCCCCGGAGGTCTCGACCCATCGATGCATCCGGAGCCGTTTTTTGACGGTCGCGGGGCCCGGCGAGGGCCCCTCGAGGCCGAAAATGGCGAAGAACCTGCGTCTTGACTCGTTCCATGCGTTGGATCTCTGGGGCCGTACACCCACGGCAGGCTCGTGCCGTGAGGGCCCTGGCTTTGGTCTCCGACACCGCGTGGATCGGCCAAGCCGGAACGATCGCGGCCCTGCGGTGGCCTGGGTCGCGTGATGTCGGCCGATCCCGGGCGCCGCTGGCGACGCTCCACCTCGAACGCCCGCGCGGATGGGCCCATCTTCCACCACCGCCACCAGATGTATAAGAGAGAGGAGGAGGAGGAGGAGGAGGAGGAGGAGGAGGAGGAGGAGGAGGAGGAGGAGGAGGAGGAGGAGGAGGAGGAGGAGGGGAGGAGGAGGAGGATGGAGGAGGAGGAGGAGGAGGAGGAGGAGGAGGAGGAGGAGGGGGAGGAGGAGGAGAGGGAGGAGGAAGGAGAGGAGGAGGAGGAGGAGGAGGAGGAGGAGGAGGGGAAAGAGGAGGAGGAGGAGGAGGTGGGAAAGAGGAGGAGGAGGAGGAGGAGGAGGAGGAGGAGGAGGAGGAGGAGGGGAGGAGGATAGAGGAAAGAGGAGGAGGAGGAGGACCTCCTCCTCCTCCCTTCTCCCCCGTCCTACACATGGCAGTGGTGGTGGAGAACTTGCCCATCACGCGCTGGGGCCGCCGCGTCAGCACGCAACGCGAACCTCGGCGGCCCTGGCCAGGCCCCTCGTGGGCCCAAGGGGTCGGCGCACGGCGGCGTGTGCCAGGCCTCCCGGCTTGGCCCGGAGGGCCCACCTCGTCCTCCTCCTCGTCCTCCTCCTCCTCCTCCTCCTTCCTCTACTCTCCTCCCCACTCAATCCCACCTTCTTTTGTTTCACTCGTCCTCCCTCCCCCCTCCTCCCATCCTCCTCATCCTCCTCCTCCTCATCCTCCCCCTTACTCCTCCTCCTCCCTTCCTCCTCTCCTCCTCTTCCTCCTCCTCCTCCTCCTCCCCCTTCTCCTCCTCCTCTTACTTCCTTTGGTTCCCTAGTCCTCCTCCTCCCCCGCCTCCCCCCCTCCCTCCTCCTTCCTACTCCTCCTCCTCTCCTCCTCCTCCTCCTCCTCCTCCTCCTCCTCCTCCTCCTCCTTCCTCCTCCCTCCTCCTCAAAACTGAAAGCAAGGATGCACCGCAAGGATGCGAGCCCCTTTCGGGCCGAGCGAAAGGGGGGGATAGCAGAGGGGGGGGGTGAGAGTTATAGCTCACGTAACTGATTTTCCTGGCGCCTCCCGGCGCCGGAGGCGGCCATGCATCGAGGAGTGGGCCCCTTGGTGGGGCCGAAACCAGCTGCATGCAGCAGATTTCGTAACCCCCCCTTTCCCAATCCCCCCCTTTCGTTCGGCCCGACCCTTGGACGCGGGTGTCGGAGCTCTTCGAGAGGGGCTGGCCGTCGAATTTTGGGGGGCTGAGGGCAGACCGAGGAGGCAGGGATGCAGGGGCACCCTCGGGAAGGCTAACCATCCCTACCATTAGGTCGGGCATGTCCCCCTGCAGGCGGATGTTGGACGAAACATATAAAACATATCCAGAACAAAATCCGCCGACCCTGTCGGCGTGTGTGAGGGGCTTTTCCGTTCGAGCCGTCATCTCCGTTATTCTTTGTACTCGTCGTCTCTGTCCTGCGCCCCAGCCGCCCGAGCCGCGCCCGAGCCGCTCGAGCCAAGCCGACCTTGAGCAACGTCGTAATTCAGTCGAAGGGAAGCCCCTTCCCTTTGATCCCTCCCCCGCCGGGAGGGGGGGGGGTAGCGACCCCCCCCCGGGTCAGATACGACGCCCCCCCCCCCGTACCGACCTTGAGCAACGTCGTAATTCAGTCGAAGGGAAGCCCCTTCCCTTTGATCCCTCCCCCGCCGGGAGGGGGGGGGGGTAGCGGGGGGGGGTAGCGACCCCTCCCCCGGGTCAGATACGACGCCCCCCCCCGTACCGACCTTGAGCAACGTCGTAATTGAGTCGAAGGGAAGCCCCTTCCCTTTCCCTTCCCCGACGGGGGGGGGAGGAGGGGTCCCGGGGGGGGTCCCAGGGGAGTCCCGGGGAAGTCCCGGGTCAGATACGACACCTCCCTCCCCCACCTTCTCGTCCTTCTCCCCGTTCCCCAAAACCATCCCACAGCCCGTGCCTCTTGCTGCGCATTGCGAACAGGGTCGGCGGCACCGGCCGTAAGGCCTTCGCAATCGAGAAAACTGTGCAAACACGGTGAAGCATCGTCCCCAGACCATCTGTTGTCTGGTTTTGCATATTCCCCCTGCAGAGGGACCTGCCCGACTTGACCCTGCCACTGGTTTCGACAGTACGTGCATCGATCCTGGGCCCAGGATGGCCCTGGCCGGGATCGGTGCAGGTGCACCGCGGGCGCCCCCCGATCCTCGCCGTCGGAGTCCTCCGCGGCCGCGAAGGCCTCCTCGGCCGCCTGCTGCAGCTCCACGTGCTTCAGCACGGTGCGCGAGCCCTCCCTGTTGGGGCGACGAGAAGGAGACATAGGAGGAGGAGGAGGAGGAGGAGGAGGAGGAGGAGGAGGAGGAGGAGGAGGAGGAGGAGGGAGGAGGAGGAGGAGGGAGGAGGAGGAGGAGGAGATCCCGTCGCCCGACCTGTAGACGCTGGACAGGTGCCCGACGTCGCCTGCTCGGATGGAGACTGCCTCGCGCCCACCGGATCCGAGCGGCTGCAGCCAGAGCCGCTCCTCCCTCGTGCAGGCCTCGCGCTTGACCCCCACCACCGCCAGCTCTTCGCCGGAGCGGTCGTCGCGCACCACTTGGCCGTGCTTCCAGCCGCCGAATCGGCGGAGCGCCCCAGCGCTCACGTCGAAGCGCGCGAACGACGCGCCGTCGCCGAGGCCCACGGGGTAGCCGAAGGTCATCGGCGCCTCCCGCGGGTCGTCGGCGTCGCTCTGTCCCGCAGCGGTGGCCAACGCGGGGATCCCCCCAGGGACACGGGCGCCCCTGACTCCGCCTCCGCAGCACTTTGGGCGATTTCGCAAGTAGGGCGGAAACCTAATCGGACAAGAACGGGAAGCGCCGATGTTACCCATTCGGCTCGCCGGGGGGAAGAATTACCCTGTGACGTACCCAACCCATTTGTATCATGGGAAACGAGGAGTTGGCCGAAACTTGCATGGACAATCAAATAGCAGGATCCGTTGTTTGATATGTAAGCTACTTGGGACACGCCCCTATGGCATGATGCGCAAGAGAACCATACAAGAACGAGGGGCGACAACTACAGGCTCGAAGAGGACATGGGGAGTCGGGAACGAAGAGCAGGAGAAAGACGTGCGGGAAGCCCACTGTGCTGGGCCCCCCAGCAGGCCTCGAAAGTGGCGACAGTTTCACAGATCGCAGCCCCCCAGGGATGGCGAGGTCTATTTGAGTCTGCCGTGAGTACCCACTGTGCTGGGCCCCCCAGCAGGCCTCGAAAGTGGCGACAGTTTCACAGATCGCAGCCCCCCAGGGATGGCGAGGTCTAATTTGAGTCCGCGATGAGTACCCACTGTGCTGGCCCCCCCAGCAGGCCTCGAAAGTGGCGACAGTTTCACAGATCGCAGCCCCCCAGGGATGGCGAGGTCTAATTTGAGTCCGCGGTGAGTACCCACTGTGCTGTGCCCCTCAACAGCCCTCGAAAGTAGCGACAGTTTCACAGATCGCAGCCCCCCAGGGATGGCAAGGTCCAGTTTCAATCCGCCGTGTGTACCCACTGTGCTGGGCCCCCCAGCAGGCCTCGAAAGTGGCGACAGTTTCACAGATCGCAGCCCCCCAGGGATGGCGAGGTCCAATTTCAAACCGCCGTGTGTACCCACTGTGCTGGGCCCCCCAGCAGGCCTCGAAAGTGGCGACAGTTTCACAGATCGCAGCCCCCCAGGGATGGCGAGGTCTAATTGGAATCCGCGGTGTGTGCCCACTGTGCTGGGCCCCCCAGCAGGCCTCGAAAGTGGCGATAGTTTCATAGATCGCAGCCCCCCAGGGATGGCGAGGTCTAATTGGAGTCCGCGGTGGGTACCCACTGTGTTGAGCCCCCCAGCAGGCCTCGAAAGTGACGACAGTTTCACAGATCGCAGCCCCCCACGGATGGCGAGGACTAATTGGAGTCCGCGGTGTGTTACCCACTGAGTGCTGGGCCCCCCATCATAGCCTCGATTTTACACATATCCGAGCCCCCAGGGATGGTGAGGTTCAATTTGAGTCCGCGGTGAGTACCCACAGTCTGGGCGCCACAGCAAAAACACCAATAAAGATCGAAAACCCCCCCTAATAAAAAACCAATAAGCAAAAGAAAAAGAAAAAACAAACACCAAAGAACAATAAAAACAATATAAAGACAACAAAAAAAAACGACAGTATTCAACAACAAAACAAAAGATGCCTCGAAAGTGGCGACAGTTTCACATATCGCAGCCCCCCAGGGATGGCGAGGTCCAATTTCAACCCGCCGTGTGTACCCACTGTGCTGGCCCCCCCAGCAGGCTTCGAAAGTGGCGACAGTTTCACAGATCGCAGCCCCCCAGGGATGGCGAGGTCTAATTTCAACCCGCCGTGTGTACCCACTGTGCTGGCCCCCCCAGCAGGCCTCGAAAGTGGCGACAGTTTCACAGATCGCAGCCCCCCAGGGATGGCGAGGTCCAATTTGAATCCGCCGTGTGTACCCACTGTGCTGGGCCCCCGCAGGCCTCGAAAGTGGCGACAGTTCACAGATCGCAGCCCCACCAAAAAATGGGCGAGGTCTAATTTCAATCCGCCGCGTCGTACCCACGGGCCGGGGCCCCTGAGCAGCCCTCGAAAGGGGCGACAGTGTCACAGACAGCAGGCCCCCAGGGATGGCGAGGTCTAATTTGAATCTGCGGTGAGTACCCACTGTGCTGGCCCCCCAGCAGGCCCCGAAAGTGGCGACAGTTTCACAGATCGCAGCCCCCCAGGGATGGCGAGGTCTAATTTGAGTCCGCGGTGAGTACCCATTGTGCTGGGCCCCCCAGCAGGCCTCGAAAGTGGCGACAGTTTCACAGATCGCAGCCCCCCAGGGATGGCGAGGTCCAATCTGAATCCGCCGTGTGTACCCACTGTGCTGGGCCCCCCAGCAGGCCTCGAAAGTGGCGACAGTTTCACAGGTCGCAGCCCCCCAAAGATGGCGAGGTCTAGTTTCAGTCCGCGGTGGGTACCCACTGTGTTGAGCCCCCCAGCAGGCCTCGAAAGTAACGACAGTTTCACAGATCGCAGCCCCCCCATGGATGGCGAGTTGTAGTTTGAGTCCGCGGTGTGTACCCACTGTGCTGGGCCCCCCAGCAGGCCTCGAAAGTGGCGACAGTTTCACAGATCGCAGCCCCCCAGGGATGGCGAGGTCCAATTTGAATCCGCCGTGTGTACCCACTGTGCTGGGCCCCCCAGCAGGCCTCGAAAGTGGCGACAGTTTCACAGATCGCAGCCCCCCAGCTGGCACGCAGCGACGAGCGAGGCGAAAGGCAAGGGGGAAGAGAGGGGCGGGAAGGAAGGAAGAAAGGAGACGCGCGAGCAGTGCTCTATCTAAAACGAGAACCCAACGCAGGAGGGTTGGGAAAAAACCCAAGCGCGTCTCAAAGATTGCGCTGGCATTTCAGCACGAGCCGAGGAGGCCCCAGGAAATTTCAGGAGGCCCCAGGAGGCATCAGGAGAAGCCCCAGCGACCCCCAGGAAGCCCCAGAAGACTTCAGGAGGGCCGAGGAAATCCCAGGTAATTCCAGGATGCTTCAGGAAACCCTAGGGTGCCTCAGGAGGCTCCAGGGGAACCCCAGGAAGTGCCAGGATGCCTCAGGAGGCTCCAGGAGGATCAATGAGGCCCTGGGGAAGCCCCAGGAAGCCCCAGGATGTCCCAGGAGACCCTGGGAGGCCCCAGGGGGCCCTGGGCGCTCGACGAATAGGCGAGCGACAATGTGCGCCGCGCCTTAGCGGGAGCGCAACTTTCAGAAAACCTGCGCGCAGCGCCGAAGCGAGAACGACATTTCGTCCTGTCGGGCGCGATGTGCACCGCGCCCCCTTCCTGCCACGCATTTCGCAAAGCCAGCGACAAGAAAATTCCCACTGAGAAGAAACATGTCGACTTTGCATAGTTTTTGACAGGTGGGATGCCCCCTCCCGCTTGGGGTTGCCCCAGACGTCCGCGCGCGATGTGCGCCGCGTCCCATTCCTGCTACGCATTTCGCATCGTCGACGACAAGAAAAGCCATGTTGAGAGAACAACGACGACTTTGTATTGATTTCTACCGTTAGGATGGGAGGGCCCAGATTGACGGCCGCGCGCGATGTGCGCCGCGCCCTACTCCTGCTACGCATTTCGCATCGTCGACGACAAGAAAGGCCATGTTGGGAGAAAAAACGACGACTTTGTATTGACTTTTACGATTCGGATGGAAGGCCCGGATGGAATCCTTATCGGCCAGCCAGGAAGGGGAATACAGTAGATTCTGATACGGAATAAGAATAGGACTAGGAGTAGGAGCAGGAGTAGGAGGAGGAGGAGGAGGAGGAGGAGGAGGAGGCGGGGGAGGAGGAGGAGGAGGAGAAGGAGGAGGAGGAGGAGGAGGAGGAGGAGTAGGAGAGGCAGGATGGTCAGCATCGAAAAAAACACATGATGAATCGTATCGGGTCGGAACGTGCCTCGAAGCGGACCGCACCGGCACAGAATCGGTATCGAACCGGATCGGCCCGGCCAGGATGCTCAGCAACGCCATGCACGCATTGGGCTGCAACGGATGGTCGGACGACAGTCGGACCCAGGACAGACGACAGAAGAGCATGCCTGAAAAACATGGTCCTCCGCAGGCCAAGCCGAAAAACATTTGAGGGTACCCTCTCCAAGAATGCACAAGAACATCCGGCTGAATAACATTCGAGAGTCCCCTCCCCCAAGATGCACATGAACATCCGACAAGCACGAACAACCTTAGGGTACCCTCCGCGAAGCGACCTCGATCTTACACCTCGGTCGGACCGTGTTCACATCGAAACGGTCGGATTGAAATAGGCCTTTGAGGGGTGGATGGGGCCTCGCCAGCGCCCGCGCAGGCTTGGGAAAGGGCCCCATCTCCTCCGCCCCTCTCCCCTCTGCCGACCCTCACAAACTTCCTTGCTCCGATCCCCCCCCCCCCCCTGTCTCCTCCCTCCCTCCGCCTATCCCGAGACCTCCGACGCGCTGAGCACGTAGATGCTGTTCTGCTTTCCGCCGTGCTCGGCCTCTGGAGGCCCTCGCCAGCGCCCGGGAACGCCAAGGAGACTGTGCATGATGCAGAGCCAGCCCCGAGGAAAAGGTCGGGACCATCCGAGGTCTCCGTGCTGAGAAACACCGGGACCTCGGATCGCTGCTGCTTGGGCCCTGCGGGGGGCCCCGATCCGTGCTGTTGCCTTTGTCGGCTCCGTGCCGCTAGCTTTTGCACGATGGAGGAGGAGGAGGAGGAGGAGGAGGAGGAGGAGGAGAAGGAGGAGGAGGAGAAGGAGGAGGAGGAGGAGGTTGAGGAGGAGGAGGAGGAGGAGGAGGAGGAGGAGGAGGACGATGATCCAAGCTGCTCCCCGACGGCCCTCGCCGAGAACAAAGGCACACGTCCGAGCGATGCCGAGAGCCCCCTCCCCGATGTCCCTCCTCTCCGCCTGGCTCCCCGCCGCCCCCCCCCGTCCCCTTCGTCTCCCTTCCGCCCGGAGGCCTCGCAAGGAATTATTCAATTTTTCCTCCTCCCCTCCTCCTCCTCCCCTCCTCCTTCCTCCTCCTCCTCCTCCTCCTCCTCCTCCTCCTCCTCCCCCCCCGTTCCCTTTCTCCCTTCCGCGTGGAGGCCTCTTCAAGGAATCCATTGGGGCGAATCCAGGGGGGGCGATAAATGGAGGGAGGAAAGGTTATCGGCGATGAACAAACCTCCCTTTAATAAACCTCCCTTTTAAAGAAAAACGACCTAGGACCGAAACCGACGGACT